CCTGCCTCTGCCGTTGCCCCTTCCCTGCGGGGTGGGCGTGGTTGGGTCCTCGGTTTTTCCCGCCCCTGCCTTCCCCTCTTCGCCCCTCCCTGCGCGCGCTGGCGGTGCTGGGGTTGGGCCCCCGCCTGGCTGGGGGAGCGCGCGCGGGGGCGCGCGTGCACCCGCCCCGCCGCTCCCTGCCGCCCCCGCCGCCCGCCCCGTCGACGACCTGTTCAACTGTGCCCGTTGCGCCTCTCTGGGAGGTAGGGTGCCTGCCTCTCGATTTTGCCTAGGCGTGTTTCGTGCCTGGGTTGTGGGTCGCGGTGACGGTGGCCTGGGTCGCAAGCGCCCGAGGCTTGTGGGGCATGGACTCTGTCCCCCCCCCGTCACCGAGTGCGCCCCCCCGCTGCCGAGGACTCTCGTTCGGGAGGATCGGTAGCTGGCGGTGCTGCCCCGCCCCGCCCCGCGCGCGAGGTACCTCGGCACCTCCCACGGGTGGACGAAGATCGGCCACCCGTTGTGCACGGGCATCCAGTACCCTGCCCTTTCTCTCCCCTTCGCTGCTCCTCTGCTGCTGCTGCCCCCCCCCCCCTCCTGCACGGATATCGATGTTGGCAGGCATGGCCTGCCGCCGCACTGCTGCCTCTGATCACGGATTACGGACCTGTATAGGATATAGATGCTCGCCCGCGCGGGTACTTTTTATTATATATATACACACACACACATATATATATATATATATACATAAAAATATTAAAAGAAATAAACATAAAAAATATATTATATATATAAAAATATATGTTTATATAACAAATATCTATATATATATATTCCCCCCCCCAAAAAAAAAAAAAAAAAAAAAAAAAAAAAAAAAAAACGTCCTCCTCCTCGTCCTGCCCCTCTTCTTCATCTTCTCGATCGAGGTAGATACCCGCGGCAGTTCCGGCCGCCTTTTCCAGAGATTTTGGTTTGAACAACTTTTGCTTTGGATCGGTTTCGGTCTCCGGGGACCGTTGCTGGGCCCTGGGATTTTCCAAACCGGCCGGGCCTGGGGCGAGAAATTGCATCAGCGGGCCCGGGGAGAGGTTCGGGGAATGAATTTGTGCGGAGTTGCCTGTCGAACTCGGGAGGTTTGTTGTGGTTGGGGGGTTCTGGGCCCCTCCCATGTCGCCGCGGCTGGATGCAGTTGGGGGCGCGATTGCGATTGGTTTCTGGGAAAGGTCCGGGGGGCCCATGGAGAACGATTCCTGCGCGAAGAAAAGAGAAGAATGTTGCTGCAGAATCTTAGTCTTTTTTGTTTTTTCGTGGTTTTCGCCGTCGAGGGGCCGCCTCCAGGCCCCGGGGTCCTTCGGGGGCATTCTGGACCCCCGTAAGTGCCTCCTGGGTGCATATAGGCGGCCTTTCATGTTGTCTCGGGGCGAAGTGCTCGAATTCTCCATGCGGGTTTCCCTTATTACCCTCCTCACAGGGGCCGTCCTGGGGCTCTCCCAGGTGGTTTCGGGCGCCCTGTTGGGGCCTCTTTGTGCCATCTGGGAGTTTTTTGGGTTGCTGTGGGACTCGTGGAAGCTCGAGAAGCGAATGTGTTAAACTTCGACCTTTCCCTTCGGGAAGGGGCCGAGATTTGGTTATGCCGGGCCTCTTGGGACGCGCCCTGATTGCGCGTTGGGGCGTCTAGGGGGCCTCCAGGGTCAGCTGGAGACAATTGCGGGCGTCCGGGGGCGATCTCTTCACGAGTCGCAACTCGCGCTCTGGAGCCGTCGGGGGAGCCTTGTGGGATTCATTTTGGGGTTTTTGGGGGGCCGTCCTGCGTCGGTTTGGTGTCTTTGGGGGCCTCTTGGCGCCCATTTGGGCTGTCTTGGAGTCCTCTGAGGAGCTTTTGGGGGTCGTGTTGGGTCGATCTGGAAGGCTTCTTGGGCTGTTGTGGGCCTCGTGAAAGCCGAAGAAGCGAACGTGCTGGAAATGTATGTTGTCCATAAAAATGAAACGCGCTTTGCTTTTGGAGAGCCTCTTGGGACGTCTGCGGGCGGTTTCTTGGGCCGCCTTGGAGGCCTGTAGGACCGCCGGGAGTCAATCTGGAGCGCCTTTGGGCGATCCCTCGACGACTCGTAGCCCTCGTGGGCCGTCCAAGAGGCCTTTGGGGACCCTCTTGGCCCATTGCGGGGACCTCTTGAGGCCGTCCTGCGGCTCTGAGTGAAAGCCCGAAAGCAAAAATGGACCGCGGCGGCGGCGACATCGAAGGCGTCCTCTTTCTCGTCCCCCTTGCTGCGCCCTCCTTTTCGTTTTTCCAGCTGCCCCTGCCTTTCTCCCCGGGGCGTGTCCTATCTTAGAGAACCTGTCGGGAATTGTCCGCTCTGGGCGTGGCAAGGCCTTGGGCGTGGCGCCTCGTCGTGTTCCGCGGGCATGCTGACTGCAGGACTGTCGCTGCTTACTCTGGCTGCTGCCCCACGGGTTTTGATTTGCGTGAGGACAAGAGAAGAATTTTGTCACAGGGTCTTCGGCTTGTCAGGTTTTTCGTTGTTTTCGTCGTCGAAGTGCCGCCTCCAGGTCCCAGGGTCTCTCGGGGGCATCGTGGAGGCCCGTAGGGGCCTCTTTGGTGCCTTTTGGCGCTCTCTCGGGTTTTCGGGCGAAGTGCTCGCATTCTCCATTCGGGTTTCCCCTCGGACCCTTTTCGCGGGGCCGTCCTGGGGCCTTCCTTGGTGGATTCGGGGGCCCTCTTGGGACCCTTTTGGGCCGTATGGGAACTTCCTTGGAGGCATATGGGGTTACCTTGGGTTGATTTGGGAGGCTTTTTGGGCTGCTGTGAGCCGCGTGACAGGCCAAGAAGCGAAAGTGCTAAACGTGGGCGTTTCCCTTTGGGAACAGGCCGAGGTTTGCTTCTGGGGGCCTCTTTGGACGCGTCCTGGTGGCGCGTCGGGGCGCGCAAGGGGACTTCCAGGGCCGTCTGGAGGCAATGTCGGACGTCTTGCAGCGATCTCTTCACGAGTCGTAGCCCTTTGGGGCCGTCGGAGGAGCCCCTTGGGGCCGTCCTGGGGCCCTCCTCGGTGACTGCGGGGGCCCTCTTGGGGACCTTTTGGGCCGTCGCGGAGCCCTCTTGGAGGCGCATGGGGTTTCCTTGAATTGATTTAGGGGCTCCTTGGGTTGCTGTGGGCCTGGAGAAAGGCCAAGAAGCGAATGTGCTTAAATGGGACGTTTCCCTTAGGTAACGGGCCGACGTTTGCTCGTGCGCGTCGTGGCTCGCAAGGGGCCTCAGGGGCCGCGTGAAAGGCCAAGAGGCGAACGCGTTGGAAATTTGTGCTTCCCATCGAGAATGGGACGGTTGTTGCTTCTGGAAGGCTTCTCAGGGCGCTTCTGGGCAGCGCATTGAAGCGTTTTGGGGGCCAGTAGGGCCTGTCGGGAGGCAATGTTGGACGAATTGAGGCATTGTTGAACGACTTGGGCCGACCAGGGGGCCTTTTAAGAACCCTCTTGGCCCGTCTTGGGGCCCTTGGGACCGTCCCGCGGCTCTCCAGGGCCGTTGCTATGGTTTCTGGGGCCTTCGTAGGGCGCCCGGGGGCCGCCTTGGAACCCTTTTGAAAGTCTTTGGGGCTGTAGGGGGTCGATGTTGGATGCTTCTTGGGCCATTGTAGGCCTCGTGGAAGCACGAAAGGCGAATGTGCTGAAAATGTACGTTTCCCCTAGGGAATGTGACGATTTGTGCTTCTGGAGGCCTTCGCGGAGCACCTCGTAGTAGTTCTTTGCCAACGTCTCGGGAGCCTGTGAGGAATCGTCTGCAGGCAAGCTGGGGCGGTTTGGACCGAATCGTCCCCCTCGTGGGCCGCCCAGAAGGCCATTGGGGACCCTCTTGGCACGTTGTGGGGCTCTCGTGGGACCGTCCTGCGACTGTCCTGGGCCGTTGCTGTGGTTTCTGAGGCCTTCGTGGTGCGCCCGGAAGCCGTCGTGGAGCTTTTTTGGGAGCCTCTTGGGGTGTCGGGGGTCGAACTTGGAGGTTTGCTGGGCCGTTGTAGGCCTCGTGGAAGCCCAAGAGGCGAATGTGCTGAAAATGTACGCTTTCCCTTGGGAATGGGATGGTTTTTTGTTTTGGAGGCCCTCTTGGAGCGCCTCGTGGATGCGTTTTCAAACGTCTTTGGGGCTTATTGGGCCGTCTGGAGGCAATCTTGGGCGGTTTGGACTGAATCGTCCCCCCCGTGGGCCGTCTGGGCAGCCTTTGGCGACCCTGTGAACCCGTTTTGGAGGACCGTCCTGCGGCTCGTCCCGGGCCGTTGCTATGGTTTCTGGAGCCTTCGTGGATCGCCTGGAAACCGTCGTGGGGCCTTTTCGGGAGCCTTCTGGGTCCAGAGGATCGATATTGGACCTTGGAGGGTTCTTGGGGCGTTGTGGGCCGCGTGGAAGCCCAAAAGGCGAATGTGCTGAAAGTGCGCGTCTTCTTTAGGGAATGGGGCGATTCTTGCTTCTGGAGGGCCTTCGGGGAGCGCCTCGTAGTGCTTTCCCATGAGTCTTGGGGACTGATGGGGCCGTCTGGAGGCAATCTTCGGCGTTTTGGGACGATCTCTCGTCGACTTATAGCTCTCTTGGACAGTTCCGGGACCCTTTTGAACCTTTTTTTCGCCCGTTTCGAGGCCTCCTGAGGCTCCAAGTGTGCGGCCAGCACCTTTGCCCCCCATCTCCCCCCCCAGCTCTCTTGGACAGTTCCGGGACCCTTTTGAACCTTTTTGGCCCGTTTCGAGGCCTCCTGAGGCTCCAAGTGTGCGGCCAGCACCTTTGCCCCCCATCTCCCCCCCCCCACTCCGAACCCGCCGGACCGGGCCCCCGACGGAGGGGTTTGGGGAGGGGGAAGGATCAAACACGCAATGACCCCAAGGGGTCGGCGGATTCTGCATCACCCTTTCAGCACACTATTCATCTCTAGTCTTGTCTTCCTTATCACTCCTTCCGCTGCTTCATGACCTTCAGCTTCCCCCCCACCCACCTAAACCCGCAGGCGGCTATGTGCTGGGACCGAGACGCCCGACACCAGCTCAATGGCCCCGCTGGTGGTGGACGTCCAGGTCGCCCCAGAAGGTCCAGTGCGGATCCAGGTGCCTGCGGGCCCCGGCCACCGGGAGCGCAATTTCGACCGCCCGAGGGATGAGGCGTTGGAAAAAACGCTCCGGCGGATGGGGCTCTCGCTGGCGCCGCAGGCCCCAAAGGGTAAAGAGCGGTCCGTGCGCGAGCCTCTGCCGCTGACCCTGTTGGACACCGAGGGCCGCACCATCGACGGGAGCCTCTCGCTCAGCGCCGCCTTCGCGGCCGGCTTCGCGACGGCGTTGGCAGTTGGGCTGCGGCGATACCGGGTGCGGCTGAACCGCCCGGAGGTCACGAAGATCGAGTGCCTCGACGGGCCCCTCGTGGGCTGCCCATTGCTGCCGTCCGCCGAGGCGCAGTTCTGCCGCCCCGACCAGCTGGCGTGGGAGTGGCGGCGGGAGTCCGATGGCGTCGTGGTCGGCCAGGGGCGGCGCTACGTCCCGACGGCGGCCGACCGCGGCAGCCGGCTTGGCGTCGTGGCACGGCCCCTGGGCGACGAGCACGACGGCGACGGGGGCTCCATTTCTGCACGTTGGGTTTCCGCTGAGCCAGTCTCGCTGGCGCCGCCCGATGTGGGACGAAGCGGGGCGCGCGTTGCCGCACTTCAGCGGCAGCTCGAGGCAAGGTCGCGAGCCTCCAGTGGAGGGCACGATGTGCTGCGGATTGTATCTTATAACGTGCTCGCCGACGCTTACAGCCACTATTGGGACCAGGCCTTCCCTTATTGCGGCGCGGAGTTTCTGAGACCCGAGTATCGCCTCCAGCTGCTGCGGCTGGAGCTGTGCGCGTACGACGCCGACATTGTCTGCTTGCAGGAGGTGGACGAGCGGTGGTTCCAGCAGTACTGGGAGCCCCAGCTTGCTTCGGAGGGCTACGAGGCTCAGAGGAAGAAAATGCACCGATAACGCTACCTTTGTCCTCCTTCCCTCTGCCCAAGATAGAAGCACGAAAATGTATAGCAAAGCCTTTACAATGCCTCTATCCATACCTCGTGATCGACGATCCGGCAATACTCTCTACAAAATCGAGATGCGCCTCGAAGCCAGCTAGAAAGACATCCAGCCCTAGCATTGTCCATCAAACCGCTCACAAAGATACTGCCGTGTACAGTCGGGGCCCAGAAGAAGGAACCCTTCTCGTTGGGGAGGGGCTCGGTGTTCCTTGATTGTTTCACAGTCTGCCTTAGGTTTTTCCTTAGGTTTTCGATATGGAATCGAAGCTTAACTTATGGAAAATGGGGGCCTCGTTCCTTGTTTAGGGTTCCTTAGGTCAGCGCCCCGACTGTACGTTGCCCAACCCTGAGTGCACCACCTCGTCGTCGCCTCTGCGCCGTGCTCCGCCCAGACGGAACTGCATCGTTTCTGTTCCCGGCGCCTTGGGGCCCTCGTCGCCACGACGGCACACGCCTTGACATCCTGGTCAGCACGCACACCTGAGGAGGGATTTCCAGGGACTAGCGCTAAGTCGGGCGTGTCCCTCTACAGGATAAATATTTACAAAATATTTACAAAACAAAAAAAAATGGGGGCGATGTTTGACTATTCCTGATTATGGTTGATTCTTGTTTGACCATATTTTATTTCTCGTCCAAACTCCGCCTGTAGGAGGGCATGCCCGACCTGAGAGTAGCGGTATCGGTATCTTTTGGTTCCCCCACAGGCCCGGTTCACCCCGAAGACCAGTGGTGCGGGCGAGGGCTGCGCGGTGCTGTTCCGCAGGCACCGCTTCGAGCTCCTGGAGCTCCGCGAGCTCGACCTGACGCGGCCGCCGCGCGTGGACGTCCGCGAGAGCGGCACGGAGGCCGCCACGGGCGAGCTGTTGGCCGCTTGCCCAGCGCTCGCAGATCTGTGGAGCCGGCTTGGGCAGGTGGCGCAGCTCGCCCTGTTGCGGTGCCGTTCGTCTGGGCGGACTCTGTTGGCCTGCAACACGCATCTGTATTTTGCCGGCATGGCCAGACACGTGCGGATCTTGCAGAGCGGCTTGATATTGGGCGAAGCCAGCAGGATGGCCGCTGACGCAGCTACGGACGCAGGCGTGCGGCCAGCTCTGGTGTTGTGCGGAGACTTCAACAGCACGCCTGACGCTGGAGCGATGCAGTACCTTTTGAATGGCCATCTCTCTGCTGCACACCCAGATTGGGTCGTGGGCTCTTTGTTCTATCTAGCTGCCTGCGGTCCAACCCGCCACCGTGCCAGCGCAGCAGCGCAGCGGGAAGGAGATTGAGTTCAAGACCCGCTCCAGTTCAGAAGCATGCGTGAGCTGGCGCGGGTCTGAAACACATCCATCCTTTTCCACGACGTCCTCCTCCTCCTCCGCCTCCTCCTCCTCCTCCTCTTCCTCCTCTTCCTCCTCCTCCGCATCCTCCTCCTCCTCTTCCTCCCTATTGAAAGCATGTTGGAGGCTTCCTGGGGGCATCTTTGGGGCCTCTTGTGAGCCTCTTGACGGGGACGGTTTGGGACTGTTGGATCGTCTCGGGGCCGTCTTGGGCGCGATGGTTCTACCGATTTCTCCCAAAGAGGCTCAGTTGAACCATGTTCAGGGCGGCTGGGCGGGTCTTGGGCCGTCTTGGGGGACATCGGGCAGCCGCGGGATCCTTTGGAGGCCCCATTGGGTTAATATTGGGCCCCCATTGGGGCTGTCTTGGTTTCTATGTTGAGCCTCCTGGGGCATCGCTGGAGGCCTCTTCGGGCGTCTCTTGGAGGCTTCGGGAGATCTCTTGGGGCAGCTTGCAGACGTCTTGGCGCCTCGGGAAGTCGCCGTGCCGTTTTGGGGCTGGTCTTCGGGGGCGTCCTGCGGCCGCTCCGCGGTGGGAGCCGTGCGGGGGCCGAAGATGGAGGGGGTGAGCAAAACCAGGGGATGGTGTGCGAGACCTTCGCCATGAGCTGGGGGTCGGGCCTCCAACTTATTTGATAAGCAGCCACTCCGTGCCGGCCCGCCCGACAGCCCGTTCTGATCTGCCCACGCGGATTGAGCCCGCATGCTAACGCAACCCAGCGCCACCACGCCTTGGGAAGGACGGCCCATTCCTTGGAGCCGACTGGGGGGCTGCGGTGGGGCATCAGTTGTTCCAGCCTTTCCTCAGAGAGGGGGGGGGGACCATTGTACACCGTTTTCCTTCCCTGTCCCCTCTTGGGCCGCCTTCTCTAGATCGGCACTGGATGTCGAATTGGCCCCCTTTCCCCCTGATTGGCTTCCATGTTGCCCATCCAGAGCAGACCCTCCAGCCGCCTCCAACCCATTCTGGCGGCCCGCACGCGATCCACCCCCCCACATGCTTACGGAACACCTCGGGGCACCAGGCACCTGTCAGCATCCCAGCACCCCCCCCAAACATCGTGCGGGCACGGTGGCGGACTGGGGCTTCGCCTCCTCCAAGCAGGCAGCCGCGGACATGCTGCGGGCGCTGCGGTCCGAGGAACCTGGGACCAGCTTCGCGCGGCTCGCTGGCCGCGGCAGGGGCGGGGCGCTGGAGCGCCAGAGGCGGATGAGGGCCTGCCTGGCGGTGCTCACTGGCGCAGCACCGCACAGTGGCGGCGGTGAGGCGCCCGAAGAGAGCGAGGAGGCGCCCCCTCCGGCAAGCCCAGCTGGCACGAGCGTTGCACATTCCAGCCTGGGCAGCGGCCGACACGAGACCGCCGAGACGGCGAAGCAGCCCTCCGCGCGCGATGTTCTAGAGGCGGCTCTCGCGGCAGGCGCGACGTTCCGCAGCAGCACCGTGGTCGCCGCGGCCCAGCTGGCGTTGGACGCCGGGTTGTCGGGCGCTCCAGTCGTGGCCTTGAGCGAGGAGATGCTCAAGCGTGCGACTGAAGCTGCCACTGCCGAGGCGGCCACGGCGGAGACAGAGATCCAGGATGCCATCGACGAGCAGGCAGCCTGTTCCCAGCAAGCCGAGGCCGTCGCCAACGACGGAGTGCGCGCGTCACGAGTGGGCAAGGGGCTTGAGATGAGGCACCACCTCTCTTTGGCATCTCGACAGGCGGAAGGCGCTGTCAAATGAGATTTTCCACCGTGGGCGGGTCACAGCGAGACGAGGGCGGATCATCATTCTGGCCCCTCTGCGACAAGCGTCCCCAGTGGAAGACCTCGTTCTGCACTAGCCTTCGCCTGCCGAGCATCGGCGTACAGCCCACCGCCGCCGTTCACGAACCTCGTCAGCGGGTACTCGAAGAAGAAGAAGAAGAAGGAGGAAAAAAAAAAATACGCCACAACCATAAACTTTTGGCGCTCCGCGCGGATTTCTTGGATCCGCGCTGGGCCCCCCCAGCGGTGCGTCCGGCGCCACCCCTGTCGCGCTCCGCGCGCCAGGGAGGGGTGCCCAGCGCAGACCCAAGAGATCCGCGCGGAGCGCCACAAGTTTACGTGTTCGTGGCGCTCCTTCTTCTTCTTCCAGTCGGGGGAAGGTAAGACCCGGGTAAGCCGGAACTCGGGTTTGCCGACGTTTTTTGACGAGCGCGTCCTGGATTTTGACGGTCCAGTTTTCGTGGGATGTTTGCAGTGGGAGCTCGCGTCAAATTTCAGATTGCGTCTCGTCATTTTTATGATGGACCCCGTCAGGCCAACCCGCGTCCCCCGTACCCGAGTCTTACGTCTCCCCGATCCAGGTACGCCAGCACCTTGGATTGGATCTTCTTCGACAGCAGCCGACTGGCCCGGGCTGCCGAGGCCCCCGTGCCAGACCGGGAGGAGCTGGAGGCGGAGGCCACGGCGCTGCCCTCGCAGAGGCCCTCGCAGAGGCACCCTCCCTCCTCCTCCTGCTCCTCCTCCTCCTCCTCCTCCTCCTCCTCCTCCTCCTCCTCCTCCTCCTCCTCCTTCTCCTCCTCCTCCTCCTCCTCCTCCTTCTCCTCCTCCTCCTCCTCCCTCCCCCTCCTCCACCTCCTCCTCCTCCTCCACCTCCTCCTCCTCCTCCACCTCCTCCTCCTCCTCCTCCTTTCTCCCCTCTCGTCCTCTAGCCCTTCTCCTCGGAGGTTCCCCAGCGACCACGTCCTGCTCGCTGCAGACCTGGAGTGGCAGTGATCGCTGCTGGTCGTTCCCAATAATAGCATATCACACTTACTTGTTGCCAAGGCAGCGCCAGACCTCACGACGGTTCCCACGAAAGTTCGAACATATATGTTTATACCAGGTAGTCTTGACATTGGAACGGAAGGACAACGTTGGGATCTGACAATTTCGTCGTGCTCCTCCGCAGCGATGCATTCAACTACGGTCCCGCTTCAAGCGAGAAGCGGTAGCTCGTAAAGCAGCGCTACCACCAATAATTGGCCACCTAGAGGCACACGTCCGTACGCGCAGAAATTGTCGGATGCATTCGCGAATGTTGTCGGTGTGATCGGAGTTCTATATAGGTGCGATTTCATGGGCGACTTGATCAAGCGATCGATGGCAATGTCGGGGACAAATTTGCAAAAAGAGACAGCAGCTGTACTACCTGAACTCGCGAGCAAGCTGGGCAACCTCCCCCTACAGCGCAAACGGAGAAGGATCCCAGATGCAACCCTACGGCAGCAACTCAACAAACCAGATACGACGAAAGACCCAGAATCGCGACATTGCCGGCCAAAACAAACATGTTCTCATCATGTGCGAAGAATTTGCATGCGGAACGGTTGAATTAGTCCAGATTTGTCAACCATGGCGGTGTGACTTAAGGGCGGTTCTGGACAGCACCGTTTAGTGCATGAAGTGGGCGTCGTCGATGGGAGATGTTTGTGGGCGTCCGAAGTGCACCTAAAAGTGCAATTCTCGAGACAGTATGTTCGCCAGCCGTGTGAAAGCTGTAACTAGTGGTTCAGACTCGTATTCGGGAGGGGGGGCTTGACAAGACAGTGAGTCTGGGGGCAACTGAGGGTTGCATCGTGTGATGCCAGTCTTCTCCTCCACATAAATCCGTGCAGTCTTTCGGAGGGTGCTTTATAATATGTTCGTCGATATGTTCGAATCTCGACGTTTTGGTCCACGCAGTTATTGTTTCTTGCCATCAATAACCTTTGATTCGTGTTCCATAATTTGATGAGGTTCTCCGTTTCCAACTGTCCTCTGCTGGGAGCCAGCCGTCGTCAAGACGCGTCTGGTTGAAATTCTGGAATGGTTGAATATGATTGCGCGCGCCGTCTACCAGAGGTTGGCGCCATAGCAGAGCGCTTTGCGCAAGCGGGAGTAGAGTCATGATGTGAAGCATCACAACAAATGTAGAAGCACTCTCTCCAACAGAGCGGACCGAAAGTACAGCGTGGATTGGAAATTCAAAACTGTAACTCTCTGAACCTTACTCGCTACGGACATAATACAACGGGTCGAAACATTTGTGAATGTTGATCTTCGCTCTCTACATTGATATGGAACTTCTGTATTTCTGTATGCTGGATGAACATGTCAAATTCATACTATGGAGGAGAATCTTCGATGGATGATCGATATAGACATCCTTTTTCTGTGTCCGTGCCCCACCAATATTTATCGCGGGACTCATGATTTGGATTGAAAAGGCCACGCAGAGGTTTACCGATTTAGAGGGGACTAAATTGCTAAACTGAGCAACCTTTCATCCCATACTGCCGCACATTTGCCCCAGAGCCGCCACATATCCATTGTGGGACACCGACAACGAAACTCTGGGAAGCCGAGTCCGGAAATTTCCGGAACACTGGCGGCAGTAAGAATGTCGAAGAATTTGTTTTGGAAATTCGATGTTCAAGAACATCAACATTTTTCAAACGTGATCCTCATGACAGCAATGTGTATACATATATGGATATTACATATAAAATTGTATATATATAGATATATATATATAGAGAGAGACATACATATACATATATATATATATATTGATACTGACCAATTCAAGTCGAGAAACGGATCGGAACATCGAGGTTTCTCACCGCAAGGAAAGCGTAAGGACATTATTTTCAGTATTGATAATATGAATACGGCACGAACTACCGAATACCGCACTAACACCCATATCGAGTTGAATACCGATACCGATTGCAATACCGGCTTCCGGAACCCAGCCTATTCATAGCTTGAACTTTTCATAGGCTGAACCGGAATAATAGAGATCAGTGGAGAAGCCACGTATCTTACAGCAACTCAATCTACATTCCATGATTTTGAGGTTTAAGGTATACCATTATTCTGATAGAGAAATAGTTAAATCGTTTTCAGCTTTGGAATCGATTGGTCGTATATATGAATGTACAAGAAAGAGAAAGAGAGAGAGAGAGAAGAATGAGAGAGAGATGTCTATCTACCTATACGACCACCCTTCGGGTGATAAGGAGGTTCGGGAGGGGGAGGAACCGTCTCACTCGATCGGTATCACTATCGATTCGACGATCGATCTCACGATCGGTCTCGCTCGATCGATCTCTTTCGATCGATCTCACAATCGATGTCACTCGATCTATTTCATTCGATCGATCTCACAATCGATCTGATTGCCAATCTCACAATCGATCCCACGATCGATTTCACTATCGATCTCACAATATATCTCACATTGGTCTCACTATCGATTGCACTATCGATATCACAATCGATCTCACAATCAACATCATCATCATCAACATCATCGTCATCACCTTCATCAACATCATCATCATCGGGACACCAGCCTCATCATCACAGCATCACCGTCATCATCAACAGCATCATCACCATCATCATCATCGTCGGGACACCATCATCGTCAACATTATCATCATCAAAATCATCATCATCGGGACACCGTCATTATCATTTTCGGAACACCACCGTCATCATCATTATCACATCACCATCATGAACAGCATCGCAAACAGCATCATCATCGGGACACCATCATCATCAGCAACATCATCAGCATCAACATCATCATCATCATCATCGGCACACCATCATCGTCACCATCATCATCATCATCATCATCATCATCATTATCATCACAATCAGGACACTATCATCATCATCACCATGAGCATCATCATCTTCATCGGGCCAGCATCTCCAAAATCATTCTTTACGCTTCGCGTATCCCCACCAGCCCATCTCACAGCAGCAACTCTCGCGAAGCATGCCGACAGTCGTGTTTGTCAGGCGTGTGTCCGCTTGGCCCCGCATATCTCCCTTGTTCCTCTTTCCTCCCGCCTCCTTGTACATCCTCCTTGTGAGGGGAGCGTGAGAAGGACGAGGCGGAGGAGGAGGGAGAGAAAGCGCTCCTCGTGATTTGAGTCGTTTGGGGTTTCTCGTCCTGGTGTGAGTCGTTCGGGCCCTTCTTCCTGGTGTGAGTCGTTCGGGCTCTTCGTGGTGTGAGTCGTTCGGGCTCTTCGTCCTGGTGTGAGTCGTTCGGGCTTCTCGTGGTGTGAGTTGTTCGGGCCCCTCATCCTGGTGTGAGTCGTTCGGGCCCCTCCTCCTGGTGTGACTCGTTCGGGCTCCTCGTGGTGTGAGTCGTTCGGGGCCCGCGTCGTGGTGTGAGTCCTTCGGGCTCCTCGTGGTGTGAGTCGTTCGGGCGCCTCGTCCTGGTGTGAGTCGTTCGGGCCCCCCCTTGTGGTGTGAGTCGTTCGGGCTCTTCGTGGTGTGAGTCGTTCGGGCGCCTCGTCCTGGTGTGAGTCGTTCGGGCTCCTCGTGGGGCCTCTTGGGGGCCTCTTGGAGCCTCGTGGGGCCTCTTGGGGGCCCTTTTGGGGGCCTCTTGGGGGCCTCTTGGGGGCCTCTTGGGGGCCTCTTGGGGGCCTCTTGGGGCCTCGTGGGGCCTCTTGGGGGCCTCTTGGGGGCCTCTTGGGGGCCTCTTGGGGGCCTCTTGGGGGCCTCTTGGGGGCCTCTTGGGGGCCTCTTGGGGGCCTCTTGGGGCCTCGTGGTGCCTCTTGGGGGCCTCTTGGGGGCCTCTTGGGGGCCTCTTGGGGCCTCGTGGGGCCTCTTGGGGGCCTCTTGGGTGCCTCTTGGGGGCCTCTTGGGGCCGCTTGGAGGCCTCCGGGGGGCCTCTTGGAGGCCTCTTGGGAGCCTCCTGGGGGCCTCTTGGGGCCATCTTGGGGCCTCTTGCGACCTCTGCAGAAGCGCAAAGGAGAGCTGCCCCCTTGAGAAGGACAAAATGAGCCCAAAACCTTCGTAAAATCAATGATTCTGCTATGAGGGAAGAGGAGCGCGGCCCCCTTCAGAAGGCCAAAATGGGGCCAAAACCATCGTAAAATCAATGATTTCTGCTTCAAAGACGAGCAGAGGGGCCAAACTCCCCCCCCCCCCCTCGGAGCCAGAATCCTCGTGAGGGTAGTCGTTGTTTGGCCCTCCGAGGAGTCGAAAAAGACCCCCCTTACTACGCTCGGGAATCCTTGTCCAGGTCCAGGGGGAGGGGGGAGGGGGAGGGGTAAACCCCTCCCCGAAAGATAAGAAGGGGGGTTCAGGACAGAGAGAGCTCTCTAAACCACTCACGCCCAAAGGGCTGGTGGAATTACCACCACCTCATCAGAATCTTCATCTTCAACATCATCACCATCTGGACACCAGCATCGTCACCATCATCAACATCATCAACACTGGGACACCATCTTCATCATCACCATCATCATCATCATCAACAGCATCGTCATCAACCTCAGCATCATCATCATCGGGACAGAATCATCATCAGATCTCATAATTTCATCATCATCAACATAATCAGGATCATCCACATCTTCATCATCATTGGGACACCATCATCATCATCATCAGCAACATCAACATCATCATCGGACACCACCATTATCACCACCATGGCCATGATCATCATCATCATCACCATCATCATGATCGACACACCATCTTCGTCATCATCATCACCGGGACACCATCGTCATCGTCATCGGAACACCACCATCATTTTCATCAACATCATCATTTCATCAGTACGATGAACAACGTCATCTACATCATCATCATCATCGGGACACCATCACCATCATCAACATCATCACCAACATCATCATCATCATCATCATCATCGGGACACCATCATCATCACCATCATCATCAATACCATCATCATCATCACCATCGGGACA